GTTGACACCCAGCACTGCGCTCACTGGTGTTGTTGAGAATTTGGCAATGCTGTCTTCTTAAAGAAGAAATGCTATCCACCTGGGCAGATAGGTGTGGGCAAACACTTCATGGCTGTGGAAACTTAGCAGCCTATGCCTATTTGCCTCTCTGGCCAAGCAGAAGTGGGCCCACCTCCTTCCTCCCCCACATGACATACAGTCACTCAGTGTGGCACACACCCTGAGTGTAATCATGTCATTCCGAAGCCTGGCGTGTGATGGTGTCACCCGAAAGCTCAGCACCTTGGGTGCCTGTGGATTTCTCTTCACTTGATCCAGCTCTGACTCCTCACACTTGGCTAACCACACTGAAAGTCAAGTTCTCTTCCCTCCCCGCCACTAAATCACTGGAGGCACAAGACTGGGCTCGGTAAAATCAAACCTTCTTTAGCAGGGAGGAGGCTGGAGATGTGTGCTGAAGTCACAGAATCAACTGTGTCTGGAAAGAACCGTGTCAGGTGGGTTGCAGGGCTTCTTGCTCAGCCCAGAGGTGTTTTGAGGCCATGCATTCCCGTCTGCTAAGCCTGTGCAAGTGTAATCACTGTCCTCTGCATGCGGTCTCTGAGTTTTTACCTGGTCTTTACCAAAGAGGGTGGGAGCAGGCTTGCGTTGGCCTTGGGAAGCCAGTTTTCCCGTTGGACTATGTTTCTACTGATGTGTAGACATGAGTCTGCTCATGCTTTCTCTCGTTGGTGATTTTGCTTGTTATCTATTTCCAACATTGTGGTTTCTATGAAAGAAATCTAAATTATATCCTGATCATGGAAGGACATCCCCATCTTGCTATCGTTTGAATATGGGTAACATCCTCCACAGGTCTACAGAACTGTCTAGTCCTCAGGATGGAGGCATTGGGAGGTTCTGCAAAGCTGTGAGAGGTGGGGCTTGGTGGGAGATGCTCAAGTCCTTGGAGACGAGGTCCTGTAAGGTCCCTCCAGTACTCTCTCTTCTGATTGTGGTGTGACACTCATTCTGACATGTGCTTCCATTGCTGTGCCACAGACGCAAAATAGCGGGGCCACTCAGTCTTAGGCTCTGACTTCCAGAACTGGGAGCCAAATTATACCTTTCCACTTGATACCTAGTCTATCTGCCAGGCAATCCCTACAGTGATGCAAAGCTGATGGATATGCTTCACTTTCTTTCCAAATTGGCTATTCTCTATATGGAACTATATATAAATTTAGTATCAATCTTGGTTTTAATTTCAAATACATATATTTTGGGGATAAATAGATACTAGGATTCATGCCTTTCTACCCATGAGTCCTAGTATCATTTCTGTTGTTAGTGTGGCCAAATACCCCAACTCAAAGCAACTTAGGGGAGAAAGAGTCTACTCAGATTACAGTTCCAAGTCAGAGTCCATCATCTTGAAGACGTCAAGGCAGAAACTCAGCTAGTTATACCACATCTATGTGAAAAGAGAGAATAACACATGTGTGCCTACTTGGTCAGCTAGGTTTATTTGACTGTTTTCACTTTCATGCAGTCCAAAGCTGAGCCCATGAAATGGTGTTGCCCATACTGAGGCTGGATGCTCCCCTATCAATTAAGCCAGTGAGGAAAAACCCTTCACAAGCACGCTCACAGAGCAACCTGATCTAAGCAGTCCCTCACTGAGAGCACCTTCCCAGGTGATTCTAGACTGTGCCGGGCTGACAAAACTGACCGACACACATAACCATGGCCGTGTTGCTGTGTGTAATAGATCTGCTTTTGTGTTGTTAAAGGAAAATTTCTAGTGTTCCATATAAAAACCTTGTGCTGTTTTTGTTAGCTGTGTTCCTTTGCAGCTTACAGCATTATGGTCCAATTGCCTGTTTTGTAACCTATTCCTCTCCGTGTTTGGCTGACCTTGATGGAATTACTGCGCATTTGTGGTTTGCCTCCTGACACAGGCCTCTCTCTTCTGTGCTCTTTGAAGCAGAGCAGATTCATTCACTCCAAAGGCCTACTTTCTTCTCCCTCTTTTGGGACCCTCACCCCTGTCTCATCAACTCATTACACTCTTTTACTACAGAGGGTTCTATCAGACATAGGATGGGTTGGAGTAGATAAATACTAGAACTTTGGATATCACACGAAGGAACAATTCTAATAACAGCATAGGAAGTCATTTTGAATCATTTCCCGGGCCTTCCTGTGAACCAGTGGGGCTGGTTCTGGAGTAGTCAGTGGAGCTGCTGAGTGCTGGTCCTGATAATCTTAGTGTTCTCCTTCGGAGACACCACCTCAGGAAATCACTGTGAGGGCAACTGAGTCAATCCTCTAGTTCCCTGCAGAGTTGTGGCTCTAGGGAAGTGCATGGCCAGAGGGTGTGATGATTTCTACTGGGCCATAGCGAGATCAAAACCAACAAGGACAGCAACAAAAACCTTTGATTTATGACAGGGAAGACCAGTTCTTCCCTCCTGTCGGAGGATGTGATGGCAAAGACTCTGTTCCTTCTGCAGTCTATTTTTCAAACTGACTGATTAAACCCTCAGAGGCCACCTTCAGATGTCAAGGCTGCCGACAACAGCTCTGCTTTTGCTCGCCTTCTGAGTTTGGCCTTAAACCTTCCTTTGAAGGCTTTTGTACTTCTGAGAATGGCTGGAAACCACTTCAGCGCTCTGGCAGCTGGAGTCCAGGGACATTCAACATACAGGGCAAGAAAATTTGGAAGCCCACTAATTAGCACATCCTGCCTCCATCCTCCTCGTCTCCCTGCCTGAACAATAATTGATTAGTTGAAGTTAACCCAGGGGTGAGAACAACCAAGTTCCAAACTGAGCCGTGGAAAAGCTACTCCTGAGAGTGCAGGTGCTGAGCTCTGAGCACATGTGATGCCGTGATGCCGTAGGCGCCTGACTGCTGAGCACCGGCAGCCTTGCACTTTGGAACTGTGGAACTGCAGACTCGCTGCCCTGACCATATAGCCCCCCTTCACCGAGGCCCTGCAGCAGTATGATTCACCCACACAGCCGTGGATACAGACAACCACAAATTTAAGGCACTCTCAAGCATCTTTACAAAGCACAACAAAACAATTCTATATACTGCCCGTGTTGGGATGTTTGGTGGATTGGTAAAGGACTGGTACACTATACCAGTGTAGAAAAGTTTATTTAGTACATTACAGGGAACAGAAGACCTGAGATATTAGCCCAAGAATCACCAATAGACAACAGTGCTGTGTGAGGGCCTCCATTGTGGAGGACTCCACATTCTTAGGTTAAGTCACTTCGTATGCGATAACCCGGCATGCTCCCCACACTGTGTAAATGAGGAGGCTCCAGATTGATCAGTCCTGGGCAATAAGGGTACTTAGTGTGTTTTATATCATTCATATCATATAAATGGAAGAAGTTCTGTTAATTGGTTGGGGCTGATTTGGCTTGACTATGCCATTGACTGTTTGACCATTTGGGCAGAACACAGCTATGGTTTTGTTTAAGGGTAACTTCTGGACCACATTTTCATGGAGGACCTGTTCACTTCCTACTCTCTCTCTCAGTCTTGATCTTCCTTCCCTCCAAATGCTTCTCCCACCCACGATAGTAGCTACAAATCCAGTCTCGGATCTTGATTGGGCGAGTTTTTCTTGGTTTATCTGAAATGAATAGGGGAAGCACGCTGGTCCAACCTTCCTAGAAAGGGTTCTGCAGGGTACCATGCAAAGAAACCATCCTTAGGGTCAGATTTAGTAGAAGGTCCACATTGCTTGGTCCAGGGGCTCAAAGGAAGTGTCTCTTATAGTGATAGAGGTCGAAGGCTTTGTCTAAACGTCATCTAGAGTCAGAACTATTGAATTGAAGAGAGAGAAATCTGACCAGAGTATTGAAAATATAGGGCATGTTCTCCTGAGCCAGTGTGGTATGGGGAAGGATGGTTACCAAGCGAAGGCTCCCATCCAGTGTGGGAGGCAGAAATACATGCAGACCCGCACAGAAAGGTGGAACTGTAGAAAGTTTCTTCCAGTGGCTTCTGGAGGATGGAGGTCATGGTTGCACGTCAGACAAGGAAAGTAAAAAGTGAGACATTTTGGCCCAAGTAAGCAGGTTTTGAGTGGGACTCCAGCCTGGTTCTCCATGAAATATACAGAGTCATTTGGAATTGAATTTGTTTTATTT